TTGGATAGCCCCAGACATTCAGCATTCAGTATGTGTGGGGGTTCTCATTAGCAATTTATTCCCAAAATTATATCCAGACATAATCACTCTCCCTTGGCAGGACCTGCCCACTCTGTCGGCACCAGTGTGGGCACCAGCTACCTCCTGAAGCCCGGCTTCTCCCAGTGGAGGATTTTGCTGTACCCAAACCTGGGTGCTGCTCACCCGAGATGGCTCCACAGGTGTAGGTCAATGGCACCAGGGGCAGCTTAGAGGGCCTTAGTGACGAGCAGGGGATGTTCAGACTCATAAATTGTTGAATAATATTTGGATTTTAACCCCTTCTCAGACATATGGTTTGCAAACATTTTCTCCCATTCTGTAAGTTGTCTTTTCATTTTGCCAGTTGTTTCCTTTGCTGTGTAGAAGCTTTTTAATTTGATGTAGTTCTATTTGTTTTATTTTTGCTTTTGCTGTTGTGTTTTGGTGTTATAATCGAAAACTCAGGCCAGACGAGGTGTCACAGGCCTGTAATGCCAGCAGCTCGGGAGGCTGAGGCAGGAAGATCTCAAGTTCAAAGCCAACCTCAGCAATTTAGTGAGGCCCTAAGCAACTTTGCAAGACCCTGTCTCTAAATAGAAAATTAAAAACAGAAAGGGGGCTGGGGATGTGGCTTGATGATTAAGCACCCTGGGTTCAATCCTCAGTGCAAAGAAAATAAATAAATAAATAAATACATACATATATATATATATATATATATATATATATATATATATATATATATGAATCAGTGCTAAGGATCTAATGTACAGTATGGTCATTTTAATTATGATACTGTATTGTTTATTTGAAATTTGCTAAGAGTAGATCTTATGTCCTCACACACATATACAAAGTGGTGACTATGTGTAGTGATGGATATATTAATTAACACGATTGTAGTAATCATTTCACAATATGTATGCATATCAAAGTCATCAGGCTGTACATCTTGAATATATACAAATTTATTTTTATTTGTCAGTTATACCTCAATAAAGCTGGAAAATAAATACTTTTTTCTTTTAATTCTGGGAATGGAACCCACTGCCTCATATATGTTCTAGGCAAGGATTCTACCACTGTGCTACATCTCTGGCCCAATATATTTTCAAATTAAAAAGAAAAAAACCAAAGCCATGAGTTTTTAAGACTATGTGTCCAGTTTTAAAACTACACACACACACACACACACACACATTCTAATTCAAGAATTTTTAAATCAGAGTTAACAAGACATATGAAATATACGTTGCATTCTATCAAAACATGTGTTGAAGTTTCAGTTCTATCCTAAAGTTTAAACAACATTTCAATGAAACTTATGACTGCTTCTTTAAAACTTCTCATTTTTCATTAAAATTGTAAACTGCTCTTTGGCCAGTGGGTAGAAGGAACGTATTTACCATCCACATGGGCATTTCATAGTAAGAGGGGGTGCTGTTTATAATTACACTGGAACAACAGGCATAAAGTGGAACAGTTCCAAGCAAACCAGGACCTATGGTTCCTACCAAGGGGCCCATGGTTTAAAACTTCTGAAGCTAATTTACATACTTATAGGGTATATGCTGTTACCTACAGCAGGATTATTTTTCGAGTCAAGTTTTGAAAAACAAAAACCAAAACCAAATGCTGAGTATTGACAGCACAAGTTTATTCAGTGACCAAAGAATGGAGAAGTAGGAGTTCTGCTTGCAGATCAATTTCTCAACTCCAAGAAGTTGAGGAGTAGCTGTGGTGCACACCTGTAATCTCAGCAGCTCAGGAGGCTGAGGCAGGAGGATCATGAGTTCAAAGCCAGCCTCTGCAAAAGCAAATTGCTAAGCAACTCAGTGAGACCCTGTCTCTAAATTGCATTAGACAAAATAGGGCTGGATACTCCCCCCACCAAAAAAAAAAAAAAAAAGTTGAGGAGTTAGAGATATAGGATAAGGATAATGAGGAAGATAGGCTATTAAAGGGAAGGCACATTCATGTTCTTTCTGGGAATTTGGGTGCCTCCTCTTTTCAAACTCCTTTGGTAGTCTGGTGTTTCCAGTCATGGCAACAGGTTGGTGTCTTTAGCTTTGAAGCAGGAGGAGACCGGGTGAGTCTAGATCAAGTTAATCCTAGATTATTATTTTGGAAAAAATATTTCTCAGATGTTCCTCATGTCCATATGCAGAGCTGAGGAGCATCTGACTCAAAGGTTAAGGCAGCAAAGAAGATAGGCACAATAGAAAACAGAGATGCCAAGCCTCTTCCTCCTGTTCCAGTCACCCATTGGTCATCTATCTACAGGCGCAAGTGGAGGGGTCAGTGTTTTCAGCAAAATTGGCCTTCAGGTCCCTGAAGATAACCCAGGCAATTGTTATCATTTTAACCCACACGTCAAAGGTGCTATCTATAGCAAAGTTAGTGGTAGACTCACAATGTATTGCCCAGCTGTGTGACCTCCAAAGTTAGTGATTTTGAAATCCATTAAGAGCAAGTGAAACTAAAGAGTCTCTTGAGGTTTTTCCTTAGTATCCATACTAATAATTTAATCCTTACACAAAGTTAACTTATATACTTACATGTTAAACTTACATACCTAAATACTAAACATGAAATGCAAGATATACTTTCTATTTTACATGGTTCTAAAATGAAACTATCAATGTCAATTTTACCCAAATTCAATTTTTAATAGTGTTTGTTTGTATTTAAACTTTCCAATAACCCATTCAATTGTGTTTAAAACTTAACAGTAGCTGGGCACAGTGGCGCATGCCTGTAATCCCAGTGGCTCAGGAGGCTGAGGCAGGAGGATCTCGAGTTAAAAACCAGCTTCAGCAACTTAGTGAGGCCCTGTCTCTAAATAAAATATAAAAAGGGAATGTGACTCAGTGGTTAAACGCCCCTGGGTTCAATCCCAAGTACAAAAAAAAAAAAAAAAATCTTGTCTTGATTTTTTTTTAAAGAGAGAAAGAGAGAGAGAGAGAGAATTTTTTAGTATTTATTTTTTAGTTTTTGGCGGACACAACATCTTTGTTTGTATGTGGTGCTGAGGATCCAACCCGGGCCGCACGCATGCCAGGCGAGCATGCTACCGCTTGAGCCACATCCCCAGCCCTTGTCTTGATTTTTACTTAGAGGCCAAATTATGATGGACATTATTTATGCTACATGGCCAGGTTTCCTAGGAAGACAACTGTTAAGTCATGAGGGATTGGATCCAGGACCCTCTGTAGATATCAAATCCCATGGAGGCTCAAGCCCCTTAAGTAAAATAGCATAGTATTTGCATGTAACATACATACATCCTCCTGTAGACTTTAAATCATCCCTTAGACTATCTAATACAATGTAAATGATATGTAAATAGTTATTATACTATAATATTTAGGGAAAAATGACAAGAAAAAATGTGTGTACATGTCCAGTACAGATGTAGCCATCACAGATCTAACTACATGATACGTGAACAATGCTTTAGACAAACGATGCTGTAACAAGTGCTGGGGACAGACTGAGGATCCGTGAATGGCAGGAGCTACAGAACACGTGTCCACACACCTCTGCATTCATGTGGATTCAGTATAGTGCTGGTTGCATACAAATGCAAGTTTTGCTTTTAAGAACCTTCTGGAATTTTTTAAAATTATTTTTTGATTCACGGTTGGTTTAGCAAGTGAAGAAACTGCAGATATAGATGTCTGACTGTACATATGTATAAGTAGTCATACACATACACACACACACACACACACACACACACCCCTATGTAGATGGAGAAAGAAATTTGTTTTAAGGACTTGGTTCATGTGCAGTTAAGTCCAAAAGCAGGCCAGAAGTAGAACTCCTTCTACTGCAGGGGTCCTCAGTCTTTTATCTCAAGATCTTTCACTGATTGCATGAGGCCCACCCACACTCTACAGGGCAACCTACTCAAAGTCTGATTTAAATGTTAATCTCATCTTAAAAAAATAATCTCACAGTAACATCTAGTTTACTGTTTGAGCAAATATCTGGGTACCATAGCCTGACCAAGTTGACACAAAAAATTAACTTGGGCTGCAATCTGAAAGCCTTACCCTTGTAGACCACTAGAGGGCTGTCTTCAACAGAGGTACACCCAAGTCTCCACCTCTATGCAGGGTGGCATGGCTGTTTTAGGTGAGAAAAATTAAGTCTTAGAAAAAAGGTTCACAGAGTTGGTCCTAACAAGCCAGCGGTGAGTCTGAGTGAAATTGGCCTCACCATGTGGCAGTCCCTAGCTCCTTCCTCCATGACTGCTGGTTCCCCAGGGGCCTCAACTCGAGCCTCATAAGGATATACTCATTTCATTTTTTATTTGGAACATGCTATGATTTGAACATATCCCCCAAATTCATGTGCTGGAAACTTGGTTCACAAGGCAGCAGTATTGAGAGGTAGAACCTTTGGAAGGTGAGTGGGTCATTAGAGCCCTGTACTCATGAATGGATTGATCCACTCATGGGTTAATGGCTTATTGAGGGAGTGGCTTTGTTAACAAGAGTTCTCAGTCTGGGAATATAGGAGAGGCACAGCATGTGCTTAGCAGGCACAAGGCCCTGGGTTCAACTTTAGCACCAGAAATAAAAAACCTCTCAAACTGAGCTCTCTGGCCCACTTGCCTTGTCCCACAATGGGATGCCCCCTGCCATGCAATGATGCAACAAGAAGATCCTCACCAGATGCTGAGCAGATGCTGGTTCCATGTTCTTAGACTTCCTGTTCTCCAAAATTATGAGCTAAACAAACCCTCTATTCTTTATAAGTTACATCATCCAAGGTATTTTGTTATAGCAACAGAAAATGGACTAAGAACATTACAGCCAGATCTGGGCCTGTTCAAACCATAAACTCTGGGGGAAGAAAATGAACTTACCTCTCAGGGGGCCTTCCCACTCCTGTCTCTGACCTTATCACTACTCTCTCCCAGCACAGAACTCTCCTTCCAACAGATATACACAGAACCACCCACAGACAGATTTCTCTTTAAAAAGTGCTTTATTTCAATAAGAGCTAAATCAGGTGCATTAAAACATATTAAAAGGTTACAAAAAATGTTCGGCTCCCTACTGAGGCCTTGTCAAATTATGTTAAGATGCCTAAATGCATCTATTTATCAGTTCAGAATCAAACATTGAACCAGGCTAGGTACCATGACCGGAAGGCAAGTTAGGAAAAGAATACTTCACAAAACTCAAACAAGAGGGGGAACCCTTAAGAAACACTAGTAACTACACATCAGAAACCATCAGCCCGGAAACAGGTCTGTGATCTGCCAGGAAGACCCCAAAGGGAAGCTGAGGCTTTTCTTCACAGCTTGTGCTTCTCTGTGCTTAGTTAAAAGGTGAGGACAGGCAGAGGGGCACTTTAACATCCTGTGATGGAGTAAACACTTCTGGTTAGGTCTGAAAGAAGGGGTGCCCCATTCCTTTCTATGTTTACATTTAGGAGATCATATCTTATCTGACTTGAGCAAGGCTTTGTGTAAAACAATTTAAGTAGACACTCAAAAATGCAGGCATGCTGTTGTATAAGAGAGACTCCAGGCAATCTCTCTATCTTACTCTCAATGTCATGGTTTGGACACTTGAGACACTGCAAGTCCCTTGTCCACACAGAAACTTCTATCTTAGAGACATCATCTCGGATATCAAGTTCTCTGTGTTACAGAGCTTTGAAATAAAATGTGGCTTTAGGCTGGTTTTTGACATTTTGAAAAAGAGCTTTTCAGCTAGGTGCAGTGGTGCACACCTGTAAAGCCAACAGCTCGGGATGCTGAGGCAGGAGGATTGAGAGTTCAAAGCCAGCCTCAGCAAAAGCAAGGTGCTAAGCAATTCAGTGAAACATTGTATCTAAATAAAATACCAAAAGAGGCTAGGGATATGGCTCAATGGCCAAGTGCCCCTGAGTTCAATCCCTGGTACAAAAAATAAGAAAGCTTTTCTTTTCTTAAGAGTTTCTTGATTTTTTTTGGTTGCATTAGTCTCCTGACACTGCAATAGTCTCCCAACTCCATAGGAAGCAATTCTCACCAAGATGTTTTTGCACGGAGAACAGGTTTTGGAGGGTTATCATTTGCCATGGATATGCTGATAAAATGTCTTTATGTGGAAGTTGTGAGAAGAGCATTGCTTTCCTTTTGGTAAGGAGGAGGATGCAAATATTTCCCCTTTGAAGCATCTGACGCTTCTGTACCAGCTTGTCTTCAAGGAAACAGTGACCTCCAGCCTCCACGCTTGTCTCAGGAATGGGTGGCTAATCTCCTGAGACCCTCTTACCTTAACCTCAATTCAAAGTTGAAATCCATCCAGCCCAAAGACCAGGGCGCACACGCCTCCCTGACTCGCACAGGCCTGTCATTTGTGCTTTTCAGCCCCTTCCCAAATAACACCTGTCCATTTAATTTTCCCACTAATATGATCACTGAGAATGTGACCTTGTGCTTCATTCCACCAGCCCAGTCAGACAGATTCAGGTTTTTTTCTTCACTTGATCACCTTGTAACATAAGCCCCTGCCCAAAAGAAAAAAAAAAAAGAAGCCAGATGCAGCTAAACTGCTTTTCACAAGTTGGGGGGAAAAATAACCCTATACATTGGCCTTTTGTTCTTCACACAATTTCAGGTTCATTGCACACAATTACATAAACCCACACAAATAGATTGAGGAGTTCAAAGCAGCAAGGCCATGTGATACCAGTGAGAAAATCCGGTCCACACTGTGCTGAGGCTGCTATTTCAAAGGTTTCTACAATTCTGTTTTTGTTTGGGTTCTTTTTTGTTTGTTTGTTTTGGGTGCTGGCTGAACCCAGGGATTCATTCATGCTAAGTATGGGCCCTAGGTTGAGCTACACTCCTGGTCAAGTTTCCAAAATTCTTGATCAGGTTAAGTGAGAAATGATCTCTACAGGATGAGCCAAAATAGAAAAGTGTGTTAGTGGAAGTGGATGATGTAGGATGTACTTTTCCCCCACTTCTATTCCAAAACCCCATCTTTAAAACGCTTGGTATCACGTTCTCGGCAAGTGTCCTGTCAAATTAGCATTTTGCAACATTTCCATATTTAACACAATCATCATCGCGGTGCTAGTACAAATTACAAAGAACTTTTATGAACCAGAAATAGCTGTCCAATAAGAATTAGTGGTTAGTAATTAGCTTTGTGGAAATTCTCCCCCACCCCCCAGCTCCCAAAGGAGAATTATTGGGGCAACGAAAGGCTTTGAACATTCGTGATAAAAAATAACTGGGAGAGAAATTCTCCAAATCCCTTTCTCAAATGCAAACCTCTCTGTTTGCATTCACAAAACTGATCTTTTGAATCTGTAACAAAGGAAACTTCTCCCCACTGCCACACACAACCCCTCCCCACTTCCCCCCCAATTCTGTGCACTTTGCAGAAATGTATGATTGAGCCTAAGCCCCTCTGGGTTTCTACCACATGCCCCAGGGGTCTGGTGGTGCTGGCCCTGCAGAGGGAATAAGCTTGCTAAGAGATCCCCCACCACCACCTGCAAAGCGCCTCTGGCAGCGTGCCATCTTTTTGGAAGTCCACAGTAAGACCATAGCTATGAGCCTTTTAAATAGGCCACAGAGAAGGCCTGGAGTGCAGATGGGGGATGGGAGGGTGCCTAGGGCAACAACAGCTCTGCCACAGAGGCCCACCTTCCGTGGGAGGCACCAGCCATGGCTCTCCTTCCCCAAACCTGTCCTTGGAAAGGAGGTAGAAAAGAGATGGGCACGCCCCTTCCCTCATGAGCCGAGGTGCCTCTGTTAGAAGTTCCAGATCTTGCTTGCTTGATCTCCATAGCCCAACACCTGGCTCCAAACATCTGTCTCTCCCTCCAGATAAACAGTATTAGCCACACAGGTGCCCAGATGCCTGGCAGTCTTCCTCGTTGGAGTCACAGGGGACACACTGCCCCTGCTCTTTCCCCCCAGGGAGGTTGGCTGTAAAGATCCGCACAGTGGCTGCTGAGAAGCTGAAAGAGAAGCTCTGTCCTCTCTAGGCACCTTCACCAGGCAGCTTCCCTGAGACCACGTTCAGTGGGCAGCAGGACACGTCCTTACTCTGGGGTTCCATCTCCACATCCAAGGTGAGGGAACTTGCCAAGAATCCAGAGGTTGGGAAGAGTAAGGTCTTGACCAAGAACACACACAGCCTGGCTCCAAATTCAGAAAGACTTGTTGATGTGAAGATGGGTGGGGCACAAAGGCACCTGTCATTTCTGCAGGTGACCTCTACCCTTCTCTTGAGACTTAAGGATGGAGCTTGGAAACTTCCTGGCCACCATCCCCAAACAAGCCCTGGGCATACCCACTAGGCAGTGCCATGTGCCCGCCAGACAGACCACTGATTCAAGAGACTTTCCTTCAGCACAAAGAAGCATCGGAGAAATGAGCTGGCAGCTTGGAAAGCAGAGATACACAGGTGGCCACAGAGGTGGCACGGAGGAAGAATCCATTCTTTCCGGGCATCCACACAGCATCGCACATTCATCTTTGTTATTTAAAACAATCAAAATTTCCAGTGTAAAAACTCACGAACACTCATTGCATCTACCCCATGTGAAGGTTTATCTTTTTCTTTCCATCAGACTTGCCCCAAAGGTATGAAGCTATTGTTTTATTAATTTCCAAGGATCTCATCCACAGATCCTTCTAGGCAAACAAGGAGAATCTCTACTAACATATAAACCCCCCAAATGGTGAGCTCGAGGGACTCTTCCTCTGTCAGAGACAGGCAGATATGAGTGGCTTCCCCCTGGCACCAGAGGGGAGAAATCACTTCTTTAGCTGAAAGCCCTTGAGATAGGGACTCCCCCTGACTTTCCTGCCCATCAACAGCTCATCTGCCAGCCTCATGGCACTTGTGCTGGTGGCTTGAAATTTAATTGCATGTGAAAATATCAGGGAGACCCATGGACATGTATCCTATGTGTGCGCACACACACACTTTGGGTTCTCCTTAGAACAGAAGTCTTGTGAGTGAAAGGGAAGAGAGCAGGGATCCAGGGATGGGGACTTGTCCTCTGACTTCTTCATCCTGCTCCAGGGAGCAAATAATGGCTGATCAGGCACTGCAAAGATCTGCATTGCAACATTTCCATGGAAGGAAAGAACCCAGCTTCCTGTGGATTGTTTCAAGTCAACGGCAACCCCTGGGGTGTCTGGATCCCCTTGTTCTCATGGTTCAGATCGTTGCTGGGGTCTCGGCTATCTCCTCCAGCCTTTGCCGAATCATTAGCCGGAGCACGGTGTACCTAGGAGCAAGAAACAGCCTGTGGTAGGGGCCAGCCAGCAACACCACCCTCGGGTGATCTTCTCCACCACCCAGGTGACACTGTAGTCCTGTCCCTGTGCCTCCATCTTTGGCCCACTCTTTAGCCACTTCATTGCTAGGTTCATTTGCACATCAGAATGAGAAGAAATCAAGAGGTCAAACCCAATTTAGATTATGTTACTATGATTAGAACGTGTGGCTAAAGGAGGGAAAGATGAAAACAACAACAACAATAATAATAATAAGCAGTCTATTAACTGAGAGCTTAGGATCCCCAAGGCACCATGCCTAGCACTTCAGATGCACGGTAGCTCATTAGCCCTCATCTAGGATGGAACATGAAACTGCCAATATTTAAGCCTTTTGTGGGGAGGGGCTACCAAAACAGCAACTTCCTATATTCAACCTGCCCCCTGTACCTGCATTTTGTAGACGAGGCAATAGCAACTAGTACATAGGGATGTCCACGGCTTGTGGGTGAGTCCAGTTTCCCCACGACGCCCCTGAATGATGGCACTGCAGATACCGGGTGCTGGGCGAAATGGGACACACTCCTCATGTTTGGGGTTTTGCACAACACTGCTATTTTTAAAGTCTAGGGCAGAGTAAGTGTTCAGCCAAATGTAAATGCTGTCATCAGTTACAGCAAATATAGCTTTGGCTTTATTTTCTGGTAGCAAAAAAATCAATTGTTCCACTGTGGCTATGAAGTGCAGTCGATTCTGTGACTAACCATGGCAAAGAAATCAGAAAATCCTTCCCAGAAAGAAGCTTTCCTGGATTTTTTCAAGCCAAATGAAACTTCCAGAAGAGAAATGTTGGAAAGGGAGGAAGGGCGGAAAGAAAGGATTTTAGAGGTCAGGGGCTCAGACCACTTGCACTGCTAAGGTAACAGTCCAGGGGTTTCCAGAACCTCGGGTCTCAGCCAGCCCTGATTGTCCTCCCTCCTTCAGATATGGAGGCAAACACTTGTCCCCGGGGACTGCATTGTCCCCAGAGGTTACCCCAGACCCTGCCATGTGTTTGTAAATAGTTCCTTCACCAAATGCTCCTCAAGGACCCTTGTCTGAGTGGGCATCCACTTGCTGCCGGGGGCCTGATCACACACTTGAGATAGCAGGAAGCTGTGGTCTGGGTAAGGTTTGAGTGTGTCTCCCAAGTGTTCATGTCGGAAGTTTGATCCTTACTGTGGTGACCTTGGGAGGTAGTGGGACCTTTAACAGGTAAAGCCTAATGAAATGCACTTAAGTTACTAGGGACACTGCCCTCTGAAGGGATTGATGTAGTTCTTAAAGGATCCCAGTTAGTTCTTGAAAGAGCTAGTTGTTACAAAGAGCAAGCTTGGCTCCTGAATCCCTGTCTGGCTTTCTGTCTTGTCATATGATCCCTTCTGCACATGTTCCCACCATTGTCATGCCATCTACCATGAGACCCTCACCAGAGTCAAGCAGAAGCAGTGCAATGCTCTTGGACCTCAAAACTCGGAGCTAAACAAAACTCTTTTCTTTACAAATTAGCAAGTCTTGGGTATTTTGTTATAGTAATATGACATGGACTAACAGTAATACACAGGATAAACTGACCCCACAGAGATTTAAAAACATATATCTTTTTTTTGAAGTTCTTCCATAAAAGGAGAGGAAAGACGTTTTGATGCCCTTAAGTATATTGAGGCCTCTAAGTGTATTGGTGCACATTTAAGTTTCTGTTCCCATCTGAGATTTGGATTTGTCAACAGGTAGCCCCCCGAAGAAGGCCCATAAGCCCCAGTCTCCTGAAGCAATCTGGCGCAGTCTCTGTTTGGCACCTGGATAGAGGCCCCTGTCATTGAGGGTTCCTCCATAAAGAAAGCCAACCAGTACCCTGGTGACCACACTTACTTGCGCATCAGCTTCTTTACTTCACGATCTTCTTCCTCTTGGAGCTTCTGAATGAAGCTTTTAAGGACAGGCATCTCAAACTTTATGTACTGGGCCACCTGGGAAGGAAGAAGCAACATGGGGTGTGTGCCCTCCTGGCGTGCATTACTCTCCTTCAGGGCAGAACCTTGAGAAATCTATTTGCCCCCTAATCCAGGATTTCCTGAAATCCCAGATGCAAGCCTTCTTCTAAGACTGGTTCAGAGTCACAAGGAAGATTGCTTCATTCACATGACACAGTCTCATTTTTCGTCTCTGTCTCTAGCCCATGATTTTGGTCATGTCCAGTTTCTCTTGATACAGTGATTACAGTGATATATTGAAGGAACTGAACTCAGAATAATTAATAAATCTCTTTGTTCTCCCCTTAAGAGAATCTGAGGACTCATCATGGTTCAGAAGAAGGATTTGTTTCTCAAGCCTCAAATCGGTATTCAAATGTGCACTTGGTTCAGAGAGGCTGGGAGAGGCTTGCTGGGATGTTGAAGTTAAGAAATGTCTTCCCCTCCCCATCAGAATCTCTGCCTACTATGTCAACTTTCCCCCACGGGAGAAGTTTATTTCTCCATCCAATTAATGTTGAGCTTGGTTTTGTGACTTCCTTTGGCCAATGGGATATGTACAAACAGGATATATGCTAAATCTGAGTGTAGGCTTCAAATACACCTACATGGTTTGGTCTGGTTTCTCATGCTCCAGCCATCACTCAGAAGGAACATATCCCAGAAACCCTTTGGTTTGGGTCTCTGAATGAAGCACAATGAAGACATGAACTCAGCCTACAACCTAAAGCAAAGCCATTGACACCAGTCAGCAAAATCATGAGCAAAATAAGTAAATATTTGCTGTTATAAGATACTAAAATTGGGGGATATTTGTTATTATAGCAAAACCTGACTCATACATATGGTTAAAAACATTTCTTAACTTCTTTTACCTTAATACATAAGGTAAAAATACTTCTTGAAGTTCTTAAGAGGGTGTTTATAAAACCTCTCAAACCTCTTCCAATATCCTAGAAAGACTCATGAAATTTGTTTCTTCTGTGGAAATCACTTTCCGCCAGAGGATTCCTCCAACAATTCCCAAAGATCATACCTTCAACTGGCTTCATGAAAACCAGGTATTGGTAGGGTCCTCAACTGTATTCCAGAAGGAATTCCATGCTCCACCCCAACAAAATCCCCATCCTCTGAAGACAAACCACCCAACCAGGAGGGAACTCACATCATAGGTGACTTCCTCCACCTGGTCCTTCTCCATCAGGAACACTTTGGAGACCTGCTCACATGGGCCCTGGAGGATTCGGGCAATCAGTGGGTAATCAGTGGTCTTCAGCTTCTGCTTCTCTGGAACCACACACAACCAGGAACATCCTTGAATTCAGCTTGTAATACCTTTCTCACCATAAGTAGTGGTCAACACAGGGGTCCAAACGGACCAGGCAGTTTAGAAGATGTGGTCATACAAGTTAAGTGATTGATTTGTAAATGAACTATTCAGCAGGTGTTGTTAAAAACAACATTCTCCCCTCAATAAGGCTCCCCTGCCTCAAACCCTTTAGAAGAAGCCACTTTGAAGAACTGGCTTTATCTGTCTCTCCAGAAAGTCCAGTTCTTTCTCTAGCAGGCAGTTAGAGTTTAGGGTTTGTTTACTGCCCAAATATGGTATTCTAATTCAGTGGTATTCTAATTCTCATCCAGCAAGCCCACCAACCCTGGAGGCCAACATTTGGAAGTTTCCAAAACCTAAACAACAACCAAATGAGCCAGAGGTATTTTTTTTTTAAACTTGCTATTTTGAGTTAATTAAAAGTTTTAAAGTACACTGTGTTCTTCAGACTCACCACCACTGGTGTGGACCACGTACAAAGCAAACTCCTCCGCTGAATTCTCTATCTGAATCAGGGGCAAAAGAGACTTGTTGAAAGCATGTACTTAAATATCCCAGCTTTGAGACATCCCATCTTCCGCAACACTAAAAAGCCAAATTTAGGCTCTTTTGAGGGGAGGCTGTTTATTCACAACTCTTAAAAGGAGATGGGGGGGTAGGCAGATAACTTTATCAATAACAGATAATGCAGGGTTAGGGGTGGGGGTAGCTCAGTGATAGAGCAAATGCCTACCATACTGAAGCTCTGATTTCTATCCCCAGAATTTCAATTTCTAAAAAAAAGATAATATAGGTTGAGCCTCCTTTACCTAAAATGTTTAAGGCCCAAAGTATTTCAGATTTTGGAGTATTTGCATAAACTTGATCTTCAAAACCCTGAAATCCAAAATGCTCTGAAGTCAGAAAGTTTTTGAGCATCATGTCAGTGTTCCAAAAGTGCCTAACTTTGGAGAAAGATTTCAGACGAGTGATGCTCAAGCAGTCATAGGTAACACTTATTGTAAAATGAAGTTCCACACACTACATTTATTTTCATTCATCTCGTGCTCCTGACAACCTCAATACACGTTACCCTCATCCTTCTTTTATGGATGAGGAAGCAGAAACCAAGGAGATGAAATCCCCTGTCCTACTCAGCCAGCTATCAGGTGATGGACGGGAATTCAAACCAGCGTCCTGCGTTCTAGGCTACATTGGCTTCCACTAAAAACAAGTATACTAGGGCTGGAGTTGGAGCTCAGAGGCAGAGAGCTTGCCTAGCACGCAAGAGTCACTGGGTTTGATCCTTAGCACCACAAAAAAAATAAGCAAATAAAAAGGCATGCTAAGGCAGGCTGTCCACCTACAACTGTAGAAATTTTTTTTAAAAAAGAAAAAGTATGGGGCTGGGGATGTGGCTCAAGCGGTAGCGCGCTCGCCTGGCATGCGTGCGGCCCGGGTTCAATCCTCAGCACCACATACAAACAAAGATGTTGTGTCCGCCGGAAACTAAAAAATAAATATTAAAAAAAATTAAAAAAAAAAAAAGAAAAAGTATACTAGCTGGGCAGAGTGGCATTCACCTGTAGTCCCAGCTACTTGAGAAGCTGAGGCAGAGGATCTTTTTTTTTTTTTTTATTGTTGGTTGTTCAAAACATTACATAGTTCTTGATATATCATCTTTCACACTTTGCTTCAAGTGGGTTATGAACTCCCATTTTTAGCCCATATACAGATTGCAGAATCACATCAATTACACATCCATTGATTTACATATTGCCATACTAGTGACTGTCGTGTTCTGCTACCTTTCCTATCCTCTACTATCCCCCCTCCCCTCCCCTCCCCTCTTCCTCTCTACCCCCTCTACTGACCTTCATTTCTCCCCCTTGTATTATTTTTCCCTTTCCCCTCATTTCCTCTTGTATGTTCTTTTGTATAACCCTGAGGGTCCCCTTCCATTTCCATGCAATTTCCCTTTTCTCTCCCTTTCCCTCCCACCTCTCATCTCTGTTTAATGTTAATCTTCTTCTCATGCTCTTCGTCCCTACTCTGTTCTTAGTTACTCTCCTTATATCAAAGAAGACATTTGGCATTTGTTTTTTAGGGATTGGCTAACTTCACTTAGCAAAATCTGCTCTAGTGCCATCCATTTCCCTGCAAATTCTATGATTTTGTCATTTTTTAATGCAGAGTAATACTCCATTGTGTATAAATGCCACATTTTTGTAATCCATTCGTCTGTTGAAGGGCATCTGGGTTGGTTCCACAGTCTTGCTATTGTGAATTGAGCTGCTATGAACATCGATGAAGCAGTGTCCCTGTAGCATGCTCTTTTTTTCAAACTCCAAATGGGCTGCGGAGGGCCCTGCAGGGCTGTTAAAGAGGCTCCCTGGCCTCACCCTCAGAGTTTCTGACTCGAAAGTTCTAAGATGGGGTCTAAGAATCTGCTTTTCTAACAAGCTTCTGGGTGATGCTAATGCTGTGGGCTTTGCCTTGATTAGCAAGGGTCTAAAAACCCAAATCCTCTGCCCAGCACCCCACAAGCCACACTCTCCAAAGCTTCCCCCACCACCCCTCCAGGGCCCCGAGGCACACAACCAGCAAAGGGAACTTGCCTTAAACTTGTTGAGCAGCAGCTTCAGGACCTGTGGGGTGGTCATGGTGCTGTTGATGCGGACGTTAGTGACGGAGCCATAGGCAGGTGTGAACACGGAGGTCTGTCAATAGAGGGGTCCAGCTCAGGGTGGGAGCAGGGACAAAGACAGCATAAAAACCCAGGTAGGGACTAGCTTCAGTGACAATGGTCCTCAAAAGGTGCCCCCTGAGAACTCCCGGGCCAGCAGGGTGAGCATCGGACTTTGATGCAGACAAGCAGCCCCCAAGGTTTGACTAACTCAGTGTGGGCTTCCCTGTGGGAGGCTCAGGGCTGACTCCCCAAAGCGCATGGTTGGGAAGGGGAAATTGGACTCTCTCCAAAGAAAACACTCACAAAGACCCTTTTGCTGGAACCACCATGAGGAGGCCTCTGGCCACTCTCCAGTCGTGCCCGTGCTATAAGAAGGCAGGATTTGAACCAAACAGGAAAGAAGGGGGTCAGCTGCCTGTGGAGAAGGTGCTGATCTGGGGCTCACAGCTCTGCTTCAGAAAGCCGTTAGCTCAGGGGAAAGTCAGACCAAGCACCTGCCGCGGGGCTCGGGGTGCAGGAAGAGGGCACAGACACAGGTACCTCGGTGGGGGCAGTTCATGAGGGGTGTTTAGGAAGCCTTCAAGGCTACAGCAGGTGCTACTTTGTATTGCCCTGCTGAATGTACCCATAACCCTAGTGGGGACCCCTTGACCTGAGGCCCCTTATCCCTCATAGAGCCAGCAGATCCTACAGCCCAAAGACTGAACAGCAAACATGACTTCCTAGGTGTCCCACCAGGGACTGCATAGCTATAGCTCCGAAGTGGCAGATGCCCAAGAAGGGGTGTTGCCCTCTGAAACTGTCCCCTTCACCTTCCCCCATCCATTCTACCTTGTGGTTGTAGAAATGGCCATTGATGGAGAAGCGGTGGCGTCTGATTCGCCGCTGGTCACTGGGGGTTCTCACATTGCCACGGCGACGTACCCCAACATCACTGCGTGTGCGCATCAACTGTGGGGTGTCCTCCTGCACAGGCTTCAGTCCCCTGGAGTCTGGAAGAAAAGGGGAAACAAGCTCTGGTTGAATGTGGTAGCACACACCTATAATCCCAGTGAGTCAGGAGGCTGAGGGAGGAGGACCACAAGTTCAAGACCAGCCTTGGCAACTTAGCAAGGCTCTGAGCAATTTAATAAGACCTTGCCTCAAATTTTTAAAAAAGAGCTGGGGATATAGTTTAGTGACAGAGCACTCTGGGTTCAATCCCCAGTCATCACGGAAGGAAGGAAGGAAGGAAGGAAGGAAGGAAGGAAGGAAGGAAGGAATGGATGGGGAGGGAAGGGAGGGAGGCGAAGGTAGGGCTCTGTTTGCCTGGACCTGGGACGCAGCAACTTGTACATGATCCCTTTCTAGCCAACACTACAGCACTCATTCCCTCCCCCAAAATATATTTTACAAAATTTATATACTTCAATATATTTTTGTAAAATGTATTTTATAAAAACTATTTCTGACTGGAAGAGAAGCATAATACATGATTTACTAAGAAGTACTACAGTGACTGGCTCTATGAGGGATAAGGGGTCCCTACTCTGAAACCTCAGAACCAGACTCCTCAGGTTCAAATCCCAGCTCCTCCACAGACATCTGTCACTAGTCTTTCTGTGCCTCTGTTTTCTTGTCTCTACCATGGGACTAACAATAGCACCCATCTTAGGAGATTAGATCTAAATGAATGAATAGAAAAACTTAGAGCAGTGCCTAGCACAGAACAAGCATGTGAGGGCCTGCAAGATATTGCAAACTAATTCTGACATGTGTTACAACACGGATGAGCCTTGAGGACGTTATGCTGAGTGAAAATAGCCAGTTGCAAAAAGACAAGTGATGCATGATTGCCCTCCTAGGAGGTACCCAGAACAGTCAAAACCATAGGGGCACAATATGGAATGGTGGTTCCCAGTGGCTGGGGTGGGCAGGGAAATGGGGAGCTATTATTTAATGAGTACAGAATTTCAGAGGTTTTAATTTTATTTTTTGTGGTGCAGGGGATCAAACCCAGGGACTTATGCATGCTAGGTAAGAGCTCTACCACTGAGCTATACTCCCAAGAGTTTCAGTTTTATAAAAAAAAAAAAAAAGAGTTTTGGGTTTTAGAGACAGATTTTAATGATCTAAGGATGTTTTTTTTTTTTTTTCAAATTTTCTATTTGTTCTTTTTGGTTATACATGAAAGTTGAGTGTATTTTGACATATCACACATCCAAGGAGTATAACTTCCCATTCTTGTGGTTGTACGTGATGTGGTGTTACACTGGTCGTGTATTCATATATGAACATAGGGAAGTTATGTCTGATTCATTCTACTGTCTATTCCCATTCCCATCCCCTTCCCTTCCCCCAATTCCCCCTTGTCCAAATGGGTGAAATTCTACTCCCCTGCCCCTCCCTGCCACACACACACCACCTATTGTGAGCCAGCATCCACATTTCAAGAGAACTTTCGGCCTTTGGTTTTTTGGGATTGACTTATTTCACTCAGCATGATAGTCTCCAGTTCCATCCATTTACTAGAAAATGCCATAATTTAATTCTTCTTTATGCCTGAGTTATATTCCTTTGTGTGTGTATACCACATTTTCTTTATCCATTCATCTGTTGAAGGGCACCTAGTTTGGTTCTATAGCTTAGCTCTTATGAATTGAGCTGCTATAAACATTGATGTGGCTATGTCACTATAGTGTGCAGTTCTTTAGTCTTCTGGATATATGCCGAAGAATTGGATAACTAGGTCAAATGGTGGTTCATTCCAAGTTTTCTGAGGAATCTCCATACTACTTTCCAGAATGCTTGCACCAATTTGCAGTCCTACCAGCAATGTATGAGTGTACCTTTTTCCCCACACAAGGATGATGGTTTTAAGGGAAGAAGAGTCCTGGAAATGCTTAGAAGTGATGGCTGAATAATTATAAATGTATTTAACACCACTGGACAGTATACTTCAAAATGTTAAGAATGAAAAGATAATAAGTATTTTATCACAATAAAAATGTTAATAAGACACATAAATATATGGGGGTCCCCTGACATATTTCTACCTATGTATGTCTATAAATACTAAAAATTGACAATAATAGAATTGTAGGTTAAGCTCTTTTTATTAAAATATATTTAATTCATGTTTTATGATTTGCAAACTGACAACATCTGTCAAAACTGTAAACACATATTGTCTCAGACCCAGTAATTCCACTTCAAGGAATTCTATAGACATGCTTAAAGATGAGTAAAATGGCCCATGTATAAGCTCATTGTCAGCAATCTGATTTTTCATAGCAAAGACTGACAATGACTTAAATGTCTCTTTAATAGGAGTGACTAAATAAATTATCATTTTTCCATGGAATCTTGCAGAGCTGTGAAGAACAGAGATGTTCTTTATGGATCTATGTGGAACAATCCTAAGTTAAATGAAAAATATATATATAGATAGATAAAACCAGCAAAGTGCAAAAAGCTACCACTTATATAAAAAGGAAAAGATAAGAAATGACATCCAGCCAGGCATGGTGGTGCCTACTTGTAATCCTAGTGTCTCAGGAGGCCAAGGCAGGAGGATCCATAGTTCAAAGCCAGCCTCAGCAAAAGTGAGGCACTAAACAATTCAGTAAGACCTGTCTCTAAATAAAATACAAAATAAGGCTGGGGATGTGGCTCGGTGGTCGAGTGCCCCTGAGCTAATCCCCAGTACCCCCTGCACTAAAAAAGAAACGACATCCCAAAGATCTGTCAGTGTGTTTTTGCTTATATATGTATAACTGTCTGGGGAAGGATGTACTCAGGTTGTTTTTAGGGAGGATGCTCAGTGATGGAGGTGGGAGATTCATTTTTTTTTTCCTTTTAACACTTTTTGAATCTTGAACTATAAAAATTTCATGTATCTACAAATAAAGCACAGTTTATAACAACTATCACCCAGTTGGCCCCTAACCAGATGTTCCTCCCCTGGCACGTGTACCTGTGGGGCTTGGCGTCTGTTCACTCTCAGGAGACGCATCCACCTCTGAGATCTGAATGTTAGGCATGGTGAGGGGCTTCATAATGGTGCTGGGGGCAGAAAACAAACAAAAGGGAGACTGGGTTAATCCTGGTCAAGAGATCCCCCCATCCCACCCTCCCCAGTGAATGCTTTCCTTGTGCCGGGCTGGGTACCAGCTCACACCAGCTGATGAAGGAGGCAGGTGGGCTGCCCTGAGCATCCCAGGAGACTGGCCCAGCCTGCAGGCTGAGCACTGATGGGGGAGGGGGAAGTTTAGGAACAAGAAGATGCTCTTTTCCAACATCTGCAGCAACACAAACACCTAATTCATCCAGCCCAGGAAGGAAAACTCCGAAGAACAAAACCCATGTGTTGCCTGCGCCGAGTTCCTAAGCACATGTGGGTTCTATGACTGATTTTTTGAAACCCTAATAATGGTCATTTGTTTCTGGGGCAGGATTCCAGTTCAGATTCGATTCTGGTTTGTTGTTTTGTTTTGTTTTGTTTTCCCGTGCTGGGGATCCAACCCAGGGGCTCACTCATGGCAGGCAAGCTCTCCACCACTGAGCCACATTCCCAGCCCCACCTTCCCTTCTGTTGGAGGAAACACTCAGAAACCGCTTCTGGCTTCTCAAAGGAGTAGAAAGTAACAGGTTGGCTGCTACAAGGATCAGGGCAGCTTTGGTAGGGGCACCAATGACAGCATTCTTTGGGTTGCAAGGATGGAGGCCACAGTCAAGCTAGAGAGAGAGAGTCGCAGCAGGCAGTCTGAGCTGAACCCGCGGTTTGCCGTGATAACTGGCAATTAATTCCTCAAAGCCAAAAAGGACAATGGAAGCAGTTCAGAGAAACACACCCAAAATCAACAGAGGATTTGGCCAGGAAGGAGAATCATATTTAACCAATTAAGGCCATCCCACTGTGAAAAGACTGTGAGCTCCCTGACCCAGTAGAGACAGGCCTTATGTTCCAAAGATGATAGTTCTAAGGGTATACAATTAATATTAAAAATCTGAAAGAATTTTCTATAATAATACAGCCTTCTGAGCCCCAGAATGGATCCATACAGCCAGAGCCTCTCAGGGAATAATGAACACTTGGCATCCGGAGTAGCCAGCCTCTCCTTGCTTCCTGATCCAAAGCCCTCTTTCTTGCTGAAGCAGAAACTGGCCTCAGCATCCTCCTTAACACAGTAGTCCAGGTATTCACTTCACTATAGCTGGCCACCCACCTGGTTACTCTCCATGTGTTTGTACGTTTCAGGGGCCAATCAAGACCAGCCTGATGCCCCAGGGAAGGGAGAAGAAACCAATACGCAGATTGAAGGACCCCTCAACGGCAGCCCCAGTCAAAGGCCCCACGGACAAATGGAATTTTTGTAATCATCTCATGTAGGGAACAGAATGTAACAGCGTGGGGGTCAGTATCGGGCAGTGGACAGGGTTTGACTCCTTGGAAATAAAATACAGAGTAAGCACTGAAGGCAAAGCCGTGTGAAACCAGCAAAGTTAAATGAAACCAAAGAACTCTGACCAGACATCCCAATGGGACGGGTAAGAACTTTCCTCCTTAGATTCTCTTGGAAAGAAACCAGATCACCTCCAGAGTCGGGCCATATTGTAGGTATCTCTGAATTGTAAAGATAGACTTTGGCCGTGGAGTTCAACAAAACGTTCCATGTGGCCAACAGAGAGGGCTTGGCTCTCATTTAAACTAGAAAAAAAACATCACTGTGGTTTTGGCTCCAGGCCGGCAAAACTCCACCCAGGCTGTAGCCTGCAGACCGCCAGCATCAGCAAGTTTCAGGAGGGAAGGAGGCTAGTCACTTGATCCTGAAAACCAAAGTCCCAGAAAGACAGTAAAAAGGGCGCAGCTTCGTAGATGCATTTGGTTACTCATTCGGCCACATGAGGAGCAGAGTTTGGGGAGGAACAGGCGCAATCTTCACACCCCTTCCCATGGGGACCAGGGGAAGGGGACCACAACCCTGTTCCAGGTGTGCAGCAGACTCCCCGGCTGACCTCACTTGGCTGGTTCACACAGAGGTTGACATTCCTTTTCTTTTTCCAGGTTCCCCGCAAGACTCAGAGAGCTTCAGTCTGAGAGTTCAAGTCCTAAATGTCCCTGGAGTGGGGACCATTCTATGAGGACGCCAACACATTGGCATCCTGTTAGAAATCTGCTGGATGTGCTGGCCACTAGCAACACACCCTGAGACTCCAGAATTTTCCACCAGGGAGGACACGCTGGCATGTCCCCTTCTGTGACTCAGCACCTCCCCTCCTCACCCTGACCTCACTCAGTGATTGTGGAGAGAGAATGGAGGCCCGGTTACACCAACCCAACCCAACCCTGTTCTCCTCAACACAAGCCCAACACTGGTGGCAGTGGAGGTAGTGGGAACAAGACTGACTGGAGCATGGCTGACTAGGCACACACCACCCAGACACTCCAGTCACCTCCCAGCCCCATCGCGCCTCACTCACCCTTGTGCCCCCAAGTTGCAGCCCGAGTGCCAGGAGGAAGAAGACGGAGGGGGGCGGATGCGTTCATTGTCGTCCTGCATCTGCAGGCGGATGGGCCGGCGTAGCCCCCAGGAGATATTCAGCAGCCCCTCCACAATGAACTCATCTTCTTCCTGCCCGCAAAGCAATCAGTCTGGTGAGCCCAGAAAAGCCCTCCAAAAGCCAGCACGGCACTGGGGGACAGAGACAGCATCCTTCATGTGTCCTATCTGGGTGCCCTGGATGGTATTCATAGGATGTGAATGGTGTTCACACATCTCAACTCCAAGACACACTCTGCCCTAAAGCTCCCTGACACCCTGAGGCTGACCTTACAGGACAGCACAAAAGTTGCTGTGAAGGAGCGGGGTAGGGGTAGGGGTAGCTCAGTGGCAGAGAGCCTGCCTAGCATGCATGAGGCCCTGGGCTCCACCCCAGCTCTGAAAAAAAAACAGAACAAAACAAAAAACACGTTGCTGTGAAATTCTAAACAATGTGTGCAAATTAAAAAGAACTTTTTTGTTGTTGTTGTTAGTATAATAATAACTTTTAAGAAACCAGAATACATCTTTTAAAATAAATGAGACTAGCTGGGCTTGGTGGTACATGCCTATAATCCCAGTAGCTCAGGAGGTTGAGGCAAGAGGATCACAAGTTCAAGGCCAAGCTCAGCAATTTAGTGAGGCCCTAGGCAATTTAGCAGAGACCTTGTCTCAAAATAAAAAATAATAAGTGGCAGGGGATGTAGCTCAATGGTTGGGCACCCCTAAGTTCAATCCCTGGTTCCAAAAAGTATAATAAAATGAGACCTAGCCTTTCTAACAGAAGCAAGAACTGGGTTCTTGAATTAGCTACTTATCCCTCCCCTACTACAGAAAGTGACATGTCCTTAGCTACAACATATGTCTAGCAATCCAACCCTCTGGATGAAGGATATTTAAAGCAGAATTTCCCCAAATTTATTCTACAGAACACCAGCTCCTTTAGCAGATGAACTGTTGCCTTAAAAGGATGTCAAGGGATCATGAGTTAGGAGAGGCTGTGTTAAGCAAATTTCTTAACAGAACTTCTTGGCACTTTGTAATAAGCTAATGTGCTTAATATTATGACTCTTCTAAAGGTAAATAAGTCCTGCAGGAATTCCAAGTTATGCTAAAAGGTTGCTTTCTTTGTGTTTTTGTTGTTGTTGTTTGTTTTTGTTTTTGTTTTTTGGTACCAAGAATGGAACTCAGGGGTGTCTAACCCCTGAGCTACATCCCCAGCCTTTTAAAATATTTTATTTAGAGACAGTGTTTCGCTAAGTTACTTAGGGCCTTGCTAAATTGCTGAGGCTGGCTTTGAACTCATGATCCTCCTGCCTCAGCCTCATAGCTGCTGTGAGTACAGGATACACCACCACACCTGGCAAATGTGAAATTTCTAAGGACATCAATATGTTCCATCTTGAAAAAGTAGATCATTTGTGACCATGAAAAACTTTAATCATGTAGTACTTTAAGAATTTCTTCTTTTTTTTTTTTTTTTTTTTTTTATACTGAGGATTGACTTCAAGAGCATTTTACCACTGAGCTATATCCCCACCCCTTTTTATTCTTTATTTGATACAAGGTCTCACTAAGTTGCTTAAGTCCTCACTAAGTTGCTGAGGCTGGCCTTGAACTTGCAATCCTCCCACCTCAGCCTCCCAAGCCTCTAGGATTATAGATGTGCACCACGACACCCAGCTGTCTTTGAAGATGTATTCTGTAGGATATATCCTAGGAAAGCTGATAAAGGATCAAAATCTTGCTCATGGCCTAGCTACTAATTAATAGCAGCTTTGACAATGCCAAAAAGGGTCAGTTTTTTTTTTTTCTCTCTAGTCTCAGAAAAACCCTTCTGAACCCATGTTTTTTGGGTAAGTCTCATGGGTGTCTGACCTAGATTATGGCCACATCTTCAGCATAAACCCCTTTGGGTGAAAATGGAACCTGCCAAGTGAGCAACTAACCAAAGCCAAGAGTCATGGTGGAGACTGGGGGGAATCAGGAAAGGAGTGGAACAACTTCAGAGCATTTTGGGATCTTGGGGAAAAGGGCTTCATGGCTGGGCACAGAGACACATGCCTGTAATTCCAGCAACCCAGGAGGCTGAGGGAAGAGGATCACAAGTTTGAGGCCAGCCTTAACAACTTAGTGAGGCCCTAGGAAACTTAGTGAGACCATCTCAAAATCAAAAATAAAAGGGGTTGGGGATGTAGTTCAGTGGTTCAGCACCCCTGGATTCAATCCCTGGTTCAGAGAGAGAGAGAGAGAGAGAGAGAGAGAAAAGACTTTATGTAAGTACAGTTGATTTATAAGGACTTTCAACTGGGCAGGGCTGGTATCATGACATTGAACTACTACAGGACAGAACTTAACCCTCAATAGGACTTTGCCTAAGTGGAGTGGCTTGAGGGACACAGGAAAAGGCCACGCTTCCCATATCCTACCCCCAACAGCCTGCCTGAGCGGCTGAAATTCCACCATCTGCTATCTGTTTCTATGGATTAAATCGCCATGGCTTGATAACCCAGGGTATTACACACTGCTTCTTATCAGTCAAGAATGCTCGAGTATAAATTACTCCACCAGCCGTCCTTATAACTCAACATCTATCTGATAGCAGGCTTTACAGAAACAGATACAGGATGGGTAAGCTTAGCTTCCGGGTGGGGGCTGGGAAAAGTCAGAGGGAAAGCAAAGGGCATCCTGAGAAGGGCTGAGAAGATGGCCACAGGTGGAGGGGGGAGAGTGGGAGTCACCACCCAGATCTTATGTGATCTGCCCTGTCGCTGTAGCAACAGGACTTGGCCCTGAAGTGTAAACACAGAGGACAGGTAAGGTTCCGGGGAACCACCCAACAAGGGGATGCCTGCTTGGGAGCCATCTGAGAGGGTCACTTCATGAAAACCTCCCTCTGGAGATACCCCCCCTCTGAGGCTGTGCTACCCTGTCACACTCCCATAGGGATGTTTCCAGAGCAGAAAAGCTGAACCATTCTGGATCAAAACTGGGCCTGGGGCCTCCTTCCAAACAACCCCAAGGACTCTTGCCAACATTGTAAGTGAGAGGCCACTCACTGGGGCAGGAGGGCGGGGACCCCTGGAGACCTCAGGCCCCTCAGACCCAGATCAAGTGGAGGCAAATACTGGGCCAGCCCACCAGGGCAGGAGCCTGCCAGGGCTTGCCCTTACCTCTCTGTGTCGCAGCTGCAAGTTCTGGCCTTCGTAGTACAGGTTGTAGGTCTTCAGATGCAGGAGAAGTTCATTCCTTAGGGGGAAAGTGACAACATTTTCAGCTGAAGCCTCTTATAATACAATCATTCTCACCTCTAACCTGGCCTCAGTTACCCCCTCAGTGTATGTTCACATGGACACACACACACACACACACACACACACCACACAGAGTTTCCAAGACCCTATGGCACCTTCCCCCAGCATCAAGGTCAAGACTTGACCGAATGTTAAGAAGCAACTCTAGAACCCCAAGACAGTCCTGCACTACCAAGGCTGGATCTCTGTCGACACTCCCCCAAACCCAAGCCAAATGAGCGGGCAGGTATGTCACAGATTCATGGAGACACCTTTCCAGAAGGCCACAGGCCCTCCAAAGCCCACAGACGGGATTTCCCCTGCCTCTCCACTCCTTCCCTCCCTGGTGCATGCTGTGAGTGAGGAGAGGAGAGTTCTCCACAGGCATTTGCAAAACTCAGAAAAACTCTGAGGCTTTTCAGAAGGTGAACAGGGACAGGTGTGGGACAGACCAACTCAGACGTGATTGACATGACCTCATTGTGGGTTTGAAAACTTACAAACGCCCACAAACAAGAGAGTGGATGAGCAAAGGAAGTCCCTGTCACACGGTGCATCATTACATAGTCACAAAGATATGAACGAACAACACAACATGAACGAATCTCATTGGGAAAGAAGACAGACTTGAAAAGAGAACATAATGTGCGATTCCATGGGCCAGGCACAATGGCATGTGCAAGGAATCCCAGCCTCAGTTCAAAATACAAGAAATAAAAAGGGCTGGGGATGTATCTCAGAGATCAGGCATCCCTGGGTTCAATCCCCCGTACCAATAAATAAATAAATAAAGCTTGAAATGGGTTTTAGGATTCAGAATAGAGGGTCATCTTGTGGAGCAGTGAGAGGAAGTGGACAGACTGGGGCTTCTAAACCCTGGCAATATCCTATTTTCTTTCTTTCTTTTTTTCTTTTCTTTTCTTTTTTTTTTTTTTTTTTGTGTGTGTGTATGTGAGAGAGAGAGAGAGAGAGAGAGAGAGACTATGTGTGTGTATGTGTTGCTGAGGATTCAACCCAGGGCCTCATGCACACTAAGCAAGAGCTCTACCATGGATCTACATCTTAGCCCTTTTTTATTTTTGTATTTTAAGACAAGGTCTCACTAAATTGCTGAGACCAGCCTTGAATTGGCAATCCTCCTGACTCAGCCACCCAAGCTACTGGGATTACAGGCAGGCGCCACCACACCCAGCAATGTTCTATTTTTGATATGATTTTATCTAAAAGTGCTTGTTGTTACACTCCATGAGGAATTGGGAAGGCAGGAGGTTGAGGAAGCCATTTGCTGTGTGTTTCTGCCTGTTCTCAGGCAAGAGGTGACAGAATCCAGTCCTTCTAAACCCAATCATCCAATGGAGAGATTTTTGGACCACAGCACAGGTTAAAACTCACTGGAAATTCCAAAAAAATTTCTGACATATTAAACCTAGATAAGGGAATAATTCTAATTCTAAGCAAGCTGAAATGAATGGTTAAAAAAAAAAGTGGGGGCTGGAGTTGTAGCTCAGCGGTAGAGCGCTTGCCTTGTACACATGAGGCACTGCGTTCAATCCACAGCACCACATATAGATAAGCAAATAAAATAAAGGACCATCAACAAGTAAAAACAATATTTTTTAAAAAAGTGATTCCAAATAACTTAAGACAAAACGTCTGGTACTTTTGAACACATAGATCTGAAACCCGGTCAGGAAAAGTCCCTGGAGAAATCCTTCAATAAAGAGATAAGAATGTTCTGGATCTCACACAACAGGCATCTGTGTATGGCCAAGTGTGTCTAAAACAATTTAGTCTCAGATAAACTCAAGTTGGCTTATTTAAGACGGAGAACATTCAGGCTAGGCCAAAAAAAAAAAAAAAATCCTCAAATTTGTAGTAGGAAAAATTCAGTTTTGGCTTTTAGAAAGAGGGTAGGAGGGGAGGGAGAGGGAGAGAGAAAGAAAAGAAAAATCTGAGTGCAAGACACCTGGAGTACATAGAAAACAAGGAACCTGCCCCTTCTACTCAGAGGAGGGTGTGCTAATTTTAGCCAGAAACGGAGCAACGCAGGAACATAGCACCCAAGCCAGGACTCCCTCAGGCAATATCACAGACAGAACAGTGAGTAGTTTCTTAGTGTGTTGGGGCTGCTATAACAAAATACTAGAGACGGGGTGGCTTATAAACAATAGGAGTTCATGTCTCACAGTTCTAGAGGGCAGAAAGTCCCAGATGAAGGTGCCAGCAGATTCAGAGTCTGGCGAGGGCCTGCCCCTCAGAGATAGTACCTTCTTCCTGTGTCCTCACAGGGTTGAAGGGCAAACAAGCTCTCTCAGGCCTTTTCTCTAAGGGCACTAATTCCATTCAGGAGATCTCCACTGTCATGATCTAGGCACCTTCGGAAGGTCTCACCTCTTCATACCACAGACTTAGGTTAGGATTCAACAAATGAATTTGAGGCCACAGCAAGCAGACACCATCCTCCTCCTCCTCCTCCTGGAAGCCTTCTAAGACACCCCCACATGTCTGGCTCCCCCTTTACTTCCCTCCCAGGCTAGGCTTGGGGGATTTTTTTTTTTCAATCTAAAGCTGCAGACTTGCTGCTGTCCTCACAAGTCCAAGTCCAGCCGCTTGGCTGCCTTTCACACACCAGAGCCCTGGGCCTCTGATGCACAGAGGAAGCCTCTCTGCCCATGGCTTCGATCCACCCACAAGGTCCCCACATGGTACTGGCCCCTGGGCAAGCAGCACAGCAAAAATTCTTACTTGGAAATGTATTTATCTTGTCCACAGGGGACGAGGGACGTTTGGTGATTGTAGTCCATTCTTCCTTTCTCTTTTCATCCGAAGGGCGGGCCTGTGATGGAAAGGAGAAGGCCGAGGTTGAAGCTGGCTTTGGTCCTTGGGAAATTCAGCAGAACCTAGGCTGCAGCTGGCAAGGGGAGGAAGACTCCGAATGAGACCATCCCCCAGGTCCACAGCCTGGGTGCCCAAAGCTGACCCAGGACTGCTGAGAGGTCATTCTGCTGGCAGTGGCTACTGAGAGGAAACACCCTCAGGAAAGATGACAACTTTGGGATACTCCAAGAACAAATGCCCCAGCCACAAAGAATGCTGATACCAAGCTGGTCCCAAGATGACCAACGAGCCTTGTCCCTGATGGGACCTTCATAACACAGGACAGAGAGCCATCAGACAGGAACAGCCCAGATTCTCCTGAGGTATATAGAGCGCTGTGTTTGGATCTTAGATGTCCCCCAAGGGCCATGTGTTGAAAGCTTGGTCACCAACCTATGGCGCTGTAGGAGGTGAGACCTCATGGAAGGAAGAGAGGTCGTTGGGAGGTGCCATTAAAGGGACATTGGGAGCATAACCCCTCCCTCTCTCACTCTCTGCTTCCCCATGTGCTCTCTGCCATGACGTGCTGCCTCATCACAGTACCAAAGTGAAGGGCTCAAGCAAGCCTGGACTGAAACCACCAACCAAAATAAACAGTTCCTCCTTTTAAGCTGCTTATCTCAGTTATTTTGTGATAGTGACGGAAAACTGACAAACACACTGAGAAGGAGAAACCACGTAAAATGCCCAAATAGAGCTGGACACAAACAACTACAGCATACGATCTGTGATCGCTATTAAAATGTGGGTGATTTCATTACCTGGGAAAAGAGCAATACATTATGAAAACATGGGTTATAGGGCTATGCATCTGATTTGTAGATATAAAATATGCATAAATTGCTAAGATTGGTGGCACATGCCTATAATCCCAGCAACTCAGAAGGCTGATGCAGGAGGACCACAAAATCAAGGCCAGCCTCAGCAACTTAGGGAGGCCCTAAGCAACTTAGAAAGACTGTGGCTCAAAATTAAAAATTAAAAGGGCTGGAGATATAGACCAGTGGTTAAGTGCCCCTGGGTTCAATTTCCAGTACCAAAAAGAAATTAAAGAAAAGAAAAAGCTAGAAATATACACCTTGATATGTATAAACACATACATTTAAATATGTATAAACACATACATTTAAATATGTAGGTATTCATCAAGTGTTCTTGGCACTATTAACATCCAGAGCTAGACCATTCTTGTTCATGGAGGCTATCCTGAGTTTTGGAGGATGTTTAGCAGCATCCCTGGCCTCTAATCACTAGATCACCCCAGTCATAACAATCAAAAATGTCTCCAGACAAAATCACTCCAATGGAGAACCACTGGCATTTATATGGATGCATAGAAACAACTGAAAGGCTGGATCTATCTGGGTACTAGTGATTTTTTTCAAACATTTTATTAAGTGAATTTTCAGGGTTGGTGTGGTGGCACACACCTGTCATCCCAGCAACTCAGGAGCCTGAGACAGGAGGATCGAAAATTTGAGGCCAGCCTCAGCAACTTAGTGAGATCTTGACTCGAAAAAGTAAAAGGGCTGAGGATGTAGCTCAATAGCATACCAGGGTTCAATCCTCAGTACCAAAAAATAAAAAATAAATAAAGAAGAAGAAAGAAAGAAAGAGAAAGAATTTGCAAACATAAAGATGAAGAAACAGGGCTGGGGTTATGGCTCAGTGGTAAAGCACTTGCTTAGCATGTGTGAGGCACTGGGTTCAATTCTCAGCACCACATAAAAATAAATGAATAAGATAAAGGTCCATCAACATCTAATATATATATATATATATATATATATATATATATATATATATATATATATATATATATATATTTGTTGTTGTTGTTGTTTTGCTTTGTTTTGTTTAAAGATGAAGAAACATTACCATGAAAGCCAAGACTATTGTATCCTTAATCTTTTACTAAACTTACTCTATCACACATCTATTCATCTGTACATCTCTTAATTCAGTTACAAGTCCATGTTATTTTTCATTCACTTCAAAGTACATTACTGACATCAATCACTTTCCCTTAAATACTTCAGCATGCATTTCATTAAACTGAGCTCAACACTTGTTTATGGAAACAGATGGAACCCGCCCTGCTGACACCTTGATTTTAGTCCCATGAGAACCATGACAGACCTCTGACCTACACCACTGTTAAGATAATAAATCTGTGTTGTTTTAAACCTCTGAGTTTTGATAATTTGTTATGGCAACTATGGGAATGAATGCAAAGGAATGAGAGTCCAGGGAGGGAACAGAGAGCTGAGTTCCACTCAGAAAACTCCAAGTCCACTTGTGTACCCAAAAGCCATACCCTAGAGACACAACTGCTCTCTCTAAATTTTAAATATATAAAAACTTTTCCAGAAAGGGCCAAGTGTGGTAGCACACACCTGTAATCCCAGCAACTCAGAAACCTGAGGCAAGAGGATCACAAGTAAGGCCAGCCTCAGCAACTTAGCAAGGCCCTAAGCAATTCAGCAAGACCCTGTCTCGTAATAAAAAAATAAAAGGGGCTGGGAGTGTAGCTCAGTGGTTAAGTGCCCCTAGGTTCAATCCCCAGTACCACCCCGCCCCCTCCTCAATAAATTTTTTTCCAGGAAAAATAATCTGTTCATAAAATCCAGAGTGAATATGTACTGCATAAAAAGGGAGAAAGGAAAGTGAGAAAGTTTTTTCTTTTTTTCATGTTAAGTGACAATTACCCATAACTAGTACATATCCAAAAGGTACCCTTTATATGCATGTGTCAATTTTCACTTTCAGCAAAAACTTATTATGTGCCTAGCCATGCCAAATGTTGTACTTCTGGAGGGCTCCACAGCATTCAACAGCAAATGGGCCCTACCCTGCCCTTGGGGTGCACAGTCTAGTAGGAGGGAGACAAAGGGAGCAGCCCCTTCTAACAAAGGAAGGCAGGGCTATGGTAGCTCACCAAGGACACCTAATATGAGTTTGGGTGGGGAGCTGGGAGCTTTCTGAAGGAAGTGACCTCCAAACGAAGAAGTCCTTGATGAGATGGCACCGGCAAAAGGGAGGACGGATGTGCCCAAGCAGAAGGATCGGGCACCCCTGAGTCATGCAGGATGGGTGGTGTGTGCAGGCACACGGTCAGGTGAGGTCACCAGGGAGAGAGTGACAAGGGCTCCAGACAGGGCTCTGAGATACCTAGTCGGTCAGTGTGAATCAAGAAATAAGAGTCCCTTGGTGGGGTGGGAACAAAAGATAGCGTATTCTGGAAGCCCAGAAAACAGGGTACCTTGAGATAGAGGCCGTGGTGAGCAGGGCCAGGAGCTGGTGATGGGAGCCCAGGGAAGGGAAACTGGAGCCCGATTTGAAGCACACAAAGGTCTTGAGGAACCTCAGACGGTGCCAATTGTACAGCCTGGCTGGAGTGGGAATCAGATGGGTGGTGCCTAGTGCCCTTCTTCCCATGCACCCCGGAGTCTGTCTTCATCCATGCTTCTATTCCTGCAGCTGTCTTTCAAGTCTCATATCATTTGGACTCACAATCGCCATCTCTTATTTTCCTCAGAATTCTACAGCCTATCTTCTAATTCATGGGTTGATTTTTCTGCAGACCTCTCTTTGTTCACTGCCTCCAATATAACCTATAATTTAGTCATTCTGTTTTGCATCCGAAAGCAATCTGCCCTGCTCTTAAGACGACTCCCTTTTGATTCCAGGTCCTCTTAAATCTACTGAGAATACCAATGAGAGAACTTTAAGTCTTCTCTATGGTTATTAAATCTATTTGGTACTAGAGGAAAAAAAAAAACAGGCAGATCAATGAAACAATATAACATACAGAATTAGACCCAAGACCCAATTTTATCTGAGAACATAGAATGTGAGCAGAATTTCTAAATAATAGGGGAAAAAATAGATTAACTGCAACAAAAAAAAAGTCACTAGAGAATTAGCTGACTCCGGAAAGAGGGAGATAGGGAAGCTAAAGCCCTATCTTACTCCATCCACCAAAAGAAATCACAGATGAGTAAAAAAATTAAGCATTAAGCAATAAAATGCAGCTGTCTCCTCCAGCTGCCCAAGATGCTAAAAGGAAAGAAGGCCGAAGGGAAGAAGGTGACCCCGGCCCCTGCCGTCATTAAGATAGAAAAACAAGAAGGTGGCGAACCCTGTTTAAGAAAAGGCCTGAGAACTTCAGCATTGGACAGGACACCCAGCCCCAAAGGGACCCTACCCACTTGGTAAGATGGCCCCACTGCAACCAGATGCAGCAGCAAAGGGCTGTACTCTGTAAGCGGCCAAAAGTGCCTCCTGCAGCTAATGAGTTCACCCAGGCCTTGGCCGGCCAGCTACCCAGCTGCTTCTGCCCCGAGGAGAGACCAGAGACTAAGCAGCAGAAGCTGTTGGCGTGGGTAGAGAGAAAAGCTGCCGGCAAAGGGGATGTCCCCACTAAGAGACCAGCCATCTTTGGAGCAAGGGTCAATGCTGTCACCACCTTAGTGGAGAACAAGGGGGCTCAGCTGGTGGTGGTTGCTCGTGATGTGGATCCCACCCAGCTGCTGTCTTCCTGCCTGCTGTGTGTGACAAGATGAGAGCCCCCTACTGCACCGTCCAGGGGAAGGCCAGACTGGGACATCGGGCTCACAGGAAGACATGCACCACTGTTGCCTTCACACAGATTAACTTGGAAGACAAGGGCGCTCTGGAAAAGCTGGTGAAAGCTATCAGAACCAACTACAAGGACAGACGGGATGAGATCTGATGTCACAGGAGAGGCAACATCCTGGGTCCAGAATCTGTGGCTCACATTGCCAAGATGGAAAAGGCAAAGGCTAAAGAACTGGACACTAGCTGGGATAGATGTACACTGGTGTGTTTTCTGTACATAATAATAAAAACCATCCTTCATCCAGAAAAATAAAGTGCTGATGCTGGGCCTGGTAGCACACACCTATAATCCCAGTGATTCAGGAGGCTGAGGCAGGA